GCAAGCTGTACAAGCATGGCACTAACCTCTGCTTGGCTTCTGGTGAGGTCTCAGGAAGCTATGATCATAACAGATGGCAGAGGGGAAAGTCAGCATATCACAGGGGGAGAGAGGGAGCAAGGTAGCGGGGAGGCGCCACATTCTTTTAAACAACCAGATCATTCATGAACTCAGAGTGGGAACTCACTTATCACTAAAAGGATGGTGCTAAGCCATTCATGAAGAATATGCCCCCATAATCCAAACACCTCCCAGCAGGCCTTACCTCCAACACTGAGAGTCACATTTCAAGGTGAGATTTGGAAGGGATAAACATCCAAACCAAATCATACATATATGTTAAAATTGCTACTGGTTGGTTGTCACTTGAGTTTCCTTATAGAAAAGAATAAATTATTTTGTGTTTGAGACAGGGTCTCACTCTGTCACTAAGGCTGCAGTACAGTGGTGTAATCATGGCTTACTGTAGCCTCGACCTCCCAGGCTCAGGTGATCCTCCTACCTCAGCCTCCCAGATAGCTCAGACTACAGGTGCATGCCACTGCAACTGGGTAATTTTTTTGTAATTTTTTGTAGAGATGGGGTCTCACTATGTTGTCTAGGCTAGTCTTGGACTCCTGAGCGCAAGTGACCCACTCACCTTGGCCTCCCAAAATGCTGAGATTACAAGTGTGAGCCACTGTGCCCAGCCAAAAATAATTTTAACATCCAGAGAAAAAGTATGAACCCTGTGGAAACACATGACATGTTACTTCTTTCACTTTTAACTTATGATGCCTTTAACTTTTCCTGGACCTTTCTTAGAACATTAGCTTCATGGTAATATCCCTTTCAGTCCCTCCAATTTAAAGACACTGCCATGACTCCTTCACTTTAGAATGCAGAAATGGAGCTAGCCAGCCCTCAACCTTGCTGATGCCTCTTCTTCCCTCCTCATGAATGTTAGCATTATAGCCATTTGTATTTTTCTCTTTTTTCTTATTCATAAGGTTACTATCTCAGGGCTTCCAAAAAACACTGGATATGGAACAGAACTTTTTTCAGGAAAGAAAGTGCTACATAAAGTGTTTCTGGATAACGAAATTGGCAATGGGACTTAGAAAATTCATTCAATGCAAATCAAAACTATATTGAGATACCATCTCACGCCAGTTAGAATGGCGATCATTAAAAAATCTAGAGACAACAGATGCTGGAGAGGATGTGGAGAAATAGGAACACTTTTACACTGTTGGTGGGAGTGCAAATTAGTTCAACCATTGTGGAAGACAGTGTGGCAATTCCTCAAGGACATAGAAATAGAAATTCCATTTGACCCAGCAATCCCATTACTGGGTATATATCCAAAGGACTATAAATCATTCTACTATAAGGACACATGCACACGAATGTTCATTGCAGCACTGTTTACAATAGCAAAGGCCTGGAACCAATCCAAATGCCCATCGATGATAGACTGGACAGGGAAAATGTGCAGCCATCAAATATTATGCAGCCATCAAAAACGATGAGTTCCTGTTCTTTGTAGGGACATGGATGAACCTGGAAACCATCATTCTCAGCAAACTGACACAAGAGCAGAAAATCAAACACGGCATGTTCTTACTCATAGGCAGGTGTTGAACAATGAGATCACATACACACAGGGAGGGGAGCACTACACACTGGTGTCTGTTGGGGGGATATGTGGGAGGGACAGTGGGGTGGGGAGTTGGGGAGAGATAGCATGGGGAGAAATGCCAGATATAGGTGAAGGGGAGGAAAGCAGCAAATCACACTGCCATGTGTGTACCTATGCAACTATCTTGCATGTTCTTCAAATGTACCCCAAAACCTAAAATGCAATTAAAAAAAAGAAAAAGAAAAAGAAAACTCATTCAAGGGGACAAACATAAAACACATTTCCAGATCAGTGTTTGAAAAATAATTTCATTAACATTTAATAAAACTTATGTATTTAAAACACTGAATAAACTAATTAATGCTCCACTAGAAAATCAAAGGAAATCTGAATCTTCAAAACAAGCAAAATATATTTCTACCTGCTATGGTAGAGCCTTACAGATGCCAACTCCGTGAAGCCAAAGCTGAATTACAGAATTCAGAATTCCAAATTACAGAATGATGAAGCTTTAGAACTGGAGTGGACTTTGTTGACATCTATTGTAATCATCATATTTTACAGATAAGAAAACAGAAAGTCAAAGAAGTAAAAACTGCCTAAGATGACTTTACTAATTGATGGCAGGGCCAGTAATAAAAATCCCAGGTTTTCGGCTTCCTAGGTAAGTATTCTTTCCACTATATGATATTGACAGCTAAAATAGCACCAGCATACATTTATGAGGGCCTAGACCTGCTGGCTCAGTGCTAAGTACTTCAGAAGTATTCATGAATTATCTCTTTTCATTTTCCTAAGTGTACTACGATATAGGTATACACATAAGTGACAGAATATGAATGCAGGTTTTCATACCTGGGTACTGTGTAATCACATCATGGACACTGTTAACATACAAATTAACCAGTTAAAACTTAGAGAGGAATCATTTGCATGGTATGAAGTGGGACAACAGAGGCTGAGAGAACCTCAAATTCACATCTTTCTTTTCAGGGGATCCATAGAGCTTGAGCGTATAGACTCAGAAGTTCACACTTCTTAGTTTTGAATTGTAGCTCTGTTTATTGCTAGGCCTGTGACCTTGGTCAAGTTTCTTAACTTCTCTAAGCCTTACTTTCCTTATCTATAAGATAGAATAGAACATTTCCATAGAGTTGTCATTAGCATGAAATGACATAATGCATTAAGCAGTAAGTACAATGCCTAGCACAGAGTGATCACTCAATAAATGTCAGTTGAATTTTATTTTTAGCCATTCTATTTTAATTACTTGCCTCCTTTTGGGCCTTCTGAAAAAATTTCCCTAGATCACTAAGGTCATTTTTAAGAAACATTATCATGCATATTGATAACTTTTGCTTATTACTAAGAGTCATCCTCTTGAGATAATACATATGTCCAAGTAGATGCGTTCTGTGTAGGGAAAGGCATCGATGACAATATTATGCAGAAAATGCTCCTTAGAAGGTATGTATGTGAGCCTTTTTCCTTTTACATTTACCACCCACCCCTATACTAAATCTGGCCCATGACCACCACTCGAGCTTCATCCACCAAAATTGGGTTCCAGGTCAGTTTACATACAAGGTATTTTTCCCCCTTTAAGCAAGAAGTACTCTATTATTTTAAACTAGGAACTGATTATAACCCAAATGCTTATCTTTGGTATGAGCTCTTATAACTTTGCTGAACACCAGACTTAGATGAAAATGTATAAACACACGATTTGGAAGTATATCAATGAAACAGATTGAAGCTAAACTACTTTTACAGTTTAGGAAAATGGAAACAAGTTCATCTTTGGTGGTTCTTTTCTATTACTGTGGAACCTGGCTTGCCTCAGTTTAACTATCAGTTTCAAAGGTTGAGGTTATACACAGAGTATCTTTAGGTTGGGCTTGAAGTAAGCAAAATGAACTTCTGTGATCTCTGCACATCCACAAATTTAGGAAGTGGTCATAGCTGTTCCTCTCAGCCTGTTTCCCCTCACTACTTTTCTCTGCCTCTCCCAATATTTTTTATTAGGGGCCACCCACCTATAAAGTGACTGCAGCTGAGTGAACTTAATGAAGGGCTGAGAATTAAGAATTCATCTCCCAATCCTGCATTTAAGTTTTGGCTAATGCCAGGCAGACTTGCAAGCTACATAGGCATGAGATCTTGAATCACATAATGTGTTCCACTATATGAGTATCTCCCCCATTTTCAGTGCCCCTGAAGTACCTCTTATATCACAGGCACCCAGTAAATGAGATCATGTTTGAGAAAGAGAGGCAGTAGTTGCTGGTAAGGTTTAACAAATGGCTCTTGGAGTAGGAGAGTAGATATGATTGAGTTTTCAAGCATCTGTCGCATAAATACTTTCACAATGGCCAATTTAAGCTACTAGTTGTTTAACAACTGTTTTTGCAAAGTTCCTGAGTCTAACAATCAGCTCTTTTGACCAGTATGATCTATACAGGACAGAAGGCCAGTAAGCAGCCCAGGGGTAATCCTAAATTATTCCTCAGCAACTGACTAGTTACTCTTTTCTTAAAGCAGGGGACTTGACTAAACCCTGGCAACAGCCTAGAGCTCCTTTGATCCTACTTCCTCAGGCTAAATCCTGATTCCCACAGCTGCCATCTACAAAAGATCCTCTCCAGTCTTTTCCACCAAATCTCCAAATCCACACTGACTCAGGAAAAACATAATGACACCTTGATCGACTTCACTGGCCCTTGTTACTTAACAGCTTGTATGTCTTAAATCTGAACGCTGCTCACTTTCCTAGTCTCAACAGGCAATAAGCTTCGGAAGTTTCATATAATTATTATAATTAGAATAAGGAAGGAATGGGTTGGGCAGCAAGAGCAAATTAGCCAACATCATTAATATATTTTCTGTAGATGTATGAAAATCTTTAATCTTTATTAATAAACCTTCTCAATTACATTTAATATGATGCTGTTGCATCAACATGATTACATCAAAAGGATGCCAAAACAAACTTCATCTTCTAAGGCTTTTCTTTTTTAATCTGAATAGAAGCATTAACATGGAAAGTATACCTATGGGCCATTAATATGAAAATAAGCTATGCTTTCCAAACACTGGAAATTGTTAAGTATCGCTATAAGTCAAAAAAGAGTCCCTGTTTCATTCAGTTCCTGGAAAAATAAATGAATATTCAGAGGGCACAGAATAGTAAGGCTAAACTTCAATACATTTCAAACATTTACTTAAACAGGATTCAGCTGTGGAACATGAACTGTACATATTCTGTAGAGAAAAGAAGTCTTGTCTGTCAGCTGTTTCTGTTTAATCAATCTTGAAACTATGGGAATAAAACTTATTAGATAGTAATTATTAGCACTCCAGTAAGTTTGAAGGTTCTTACCTGTACATTTGTAATCAGAGGCCACCCCTTTAAGCACAGCATCAAAAATGGATACTTCCACTCGTTGCTTTCTGTGGTGACAACTCAGAAGCAGGGAAGGCTGGGACACAATAAAGTACAGAAAAGGTTCTAGCTGTAAGTCACCAGTTCCTCTTCGACCAGGCTGCCGAACAATAGTTATACCAAGTGCTTGTCTAGCAGATGACCTTGTGGATGCATGAAGACTTTCAAGAGAGAGGACCCCAATTTTTTTCCCCGAAGGAAAAGAAATGCTGCTGCTTAAGAGATCTTCTGCTGTCACTGTGGAAATACATGCCTGGTTGGGCTTAGCAACATCTGAATCAACTTCTGGGATATTTAATGAACTCTTGCCTGTTTTTTCATTATCCTTCTGTTCTTGTGATTTCGATTTGGATAAGGCCATACAGGAATAGGTCATTAGTGAGATTCTACTTGCAGTAATAAATATGTCAAAGGGAATAAAATTTAGATTTTTCACAATTGATGACTGGCGTGAGGGACGGGCAATACGATGCTGACTGGCACCACTCTGCTGCTCTATTTGCACTATTCTGATTTTAACGCTGTCACTGCCAATTCCACTATCCTGAGCACCACTGTACCGAGATGAGGTTTCAGCCATGCCTCCATCAAATGTATCCACTTTTTTCTGTTCTTGTTTAGAGATCTGTAAGAAAAAAATAAAATATTTAAAATGAGTTATATGCCAAGTGTTACATAAACAATGTTATATAAACATGTTGTCAAAAAGGAAATTTTGAAAACGAGTCTAGAATAACTTAAAACAGTAATCAGAAAAACAGAATAGGTGCCCACTTCCTACATCAGACCCCCAAAATCACCTTACAATGCCAAGAAAATACTTGAGGAAGAGCATCTAATGTTCATTTCCATCATTAAAACACATTTTTGAGAGTCATATCTTCTTTCTTTGTATTAATACAGAAGGATATATTTTTAAAGCGTCTCTTTAAGGAATTATTTTAATACAGATTTTTATAGTGATTTCCCAAGCAATACAATAAACTGTCTCCAAATCATGATTACTGGTGGTTGAAAATATATTTTACATAGGGGTAGTTTATATTATGTTCCTTACCTTTCTTATAAAACTGATTTATAGGTTTTTGGACACTAAGAAAGGGAAAAAATCAGTAGTCCTAAATTAGGAAGGACCAAGAAAAGTACGCTAAAATAAACACATGCCATTTCAAAACATGTTTATTTTTCTCCTACTACGATAGGCCTTAAAACCAGGACAAATTTAAGAGATAAAGTAAAATCAAGTCAATAATTAACTAACTAAAATCCTTGAGGGTCGATTTTTCCTTTGTGCAATAAAGGCTACTGGTTCTCAAAAATTTTCAGCAATGACTCCCTATGTAGAGAACAAGGAGAAACTTGGTGGCAGCAGCAGTTATAATCATTTGGCTCCAAGAGTATCAGCTCCTCTTTCTTGGACTGCCTAACCATCAGTCTGCAACTTGCTATTCTGTGCCTAGATATTTTACTTGCTTTTTCAACAGAATTATTAAGGTAACCATAAGAAAATCCATAAGAATAAAAAAATCTACCCCACCCATCTTATCACCAAATATAACCGTTAGTAATATTTCATGGCTCTTCCTCTCAGTCATTTTTTTCCTACTTATGCACAGGTTCACCTGTATCCCTTTGTGGTAGTGATACCATAGGGACAAATTGAAAACTTAAATTTTGACATGCTAATGTAGTCTTCATAAATATGATTTTTTTTTTTTTTTTTTTTTTTTGAGATGAGTCTTGCTCTGTAGCCCAGGCTGGAGTGCAGTGGTGCAATCTCGGCTCACTGCAACCTCCACCACCTGGGTCCCAGTTCAAGCAGTTCTCCTACCTCAGCCTCTCAAGTAGCTGAGATTACAGGAATGAGCCACCATGCCCAGCTAATTTTTTTATTTTTTAGTAGAGGTGGGTTTCACCATGTTGGCCAGTCTGGTCTTGAATTCCTGACTTCGTGACCTGCCATCCTTGGCCTCCCAAAGCACTGGGATTACAGGTGTGAGCCACCACGCCTGGCCCATAAGTATAATTTTTTAAAGCTGCAAAATATTTCATTTAGTGTTAGGAACAATTTGTTCTACCATTCCCATGTAACTGGATATTCAAGTTTTCAATTAGTGCCAACAAACACCTAGTAATATTTTCTTAGGACAGACGGCTCCTAGAAGTGAAATTATTAGGCAAGATGCAGTGACTCACACCTGTAATTCCCACACTTTGGGAAGCTGAGGTGGGAAGATTGCTTGAGTCCAGGGGTTTAAGACTGGCCTGAGCAATATCACAAAGCCCTGTCTCTACAAAAAAATATGAACAATTAGCTGGACCTGGTGGTGTGCACCTGTGGTCCCAGCTACTTGGGAAGTCGATGGCTTGAGCCTGAGAGGTGGAGGTTGCAGCAAACCAAGATCATGCCACTGTACTCCAGCCTGGGTGACAGAGTGAGATCCTATTTCAAAAACAAAAATTAAAGCAATAAAAAAGAGAAGTGGAATTCTTAGGCAAATGGTATGGAAAAGCTTAAAGTTACTGAATATTGTCAAACACCTATCCAAAAAGGCTGCTCAGTACTTAGGGAGACATTTTTTGTCACTGATAGTAATGTAACTTACTATCAGTGACAAAAAATGTCTCCCTAAGAACTGAGTAACTGGGTATTGCTTATTACTACTACTACTACTTTTCTACTACTACTACTATTTTTAAAGAGAGAGTCTTATTCTGTTGCCCAGGTTGGAGTGTAGTGGTGTGATCATAGCTCACTGCAGCCTACAACTCCTTGGCGGTGGCTCCAGCAATACTCCTGCTTCAGCCTCCTGGGGAGCTAGGACCAAAGGCATGCACTGCCATACCTGGCTTATTTTTAAATTTTTTATAGAAATGAGGTCTCATAGTGTTGCCCAAGCTGGTCTCAAACTCCTGGGCTCAAACAATCCTCCTGCCTCAGCCTCCCAAACCTGCTTATTATTTTTAAAACTCTTCCTTGATTGGTAAAGAAATATGTATATGTATATATAATTTTGCCACATGCTACAAATTATTATACTGCTTATCTAGGGCTTATTGAGAAAATGTTAAATAACTGATAAACAATTCAAGAAAGTGAGGTAACCATCATTAAAATTCTTTTAAGAATATTTCTTGTTAAGTGGTGTTTATAGAGTTGAGAAAGCCACATTGTTAAAGAAATCTAGCATTTGCTATTTGAAACAAAAAGGACTTGTTCCTGTCCTTTGAAGACACCATATTCTTTCAAACCTTGCAGTCTATACTGTGCTCTTTCCCTTTCTGGAGTGCTCCTCTGAGCCTGCTGTAGCTGACGAACATTTAGTTATACATCAAGATAAATGACATTTGTCTGAGAACTGTTCTCTCACTCTTCCTTCTTGGCGATCTTAGTAGTTCACTTAGACTTCCATTATATATTTTACTAAAAGGTTTGTGGTGACAGTATCAGACAGCATTAAGACAATATATAGGCTTTGGAGTCACACAGATGTGGGATCAAGTCCAACACTCTCTAATTACATGACTGAACAAATTACAAATCTTTCTAAGGCTATAAAATCTCATTTGTAAAATGAGGATAACTTCTACCTCAGAGAGTTACTATGATGACTGAATCAACTAACGTGCCTAAAGAGGTTAGCACAGTTCCTGCCTTACAGTAAATACCTAGTAATGAGCAGCTGTTATGTGTCTGCCTCTTTTACCAGGTGAAGAACTGTTTGAGGTAGTGGAGCATACAATTCTGCTTCTGTATCACTAAACAGCAGGGCAATGCCTAGCACACTGAAGAGAATCCATGAATGTTTGACATGTTTGTTTTTGATATAACACTAAATGAAAAAATTGCCCAGCAGACTAGAGTTACATGATTGTTAAAATACAAATAAATGTAGACCGAGAGTTCTCAATACTGTACTCTTTAAGGTCTTTCCCAAACATATTCATAGTGTTTTTCCTGATCTGCATACTCTACCCTGTGGACTGATCATGCTTCAAAGAATCATCTCTATCTCTGCCGTCTTTGTCCTCACATTGGGACATTAATACCTAACTCATAGGGTTGCTGCAGCATAAAATTAATTAGCATACTGAACAAACACAGTAGGCACTCTAAAAAGGGTAAGTTAAAAAATTCACCTTCTTTGTGAAGACTTCAGCAACCCTTCCAGGTGGTGCTAGTCTTTCCCACTTCTATACTTTTATAACAAACTGATATTATAGCACTTTTCATACTATATTCTGTCTCAGAGATTGTGAACAATTGAAGAAAAAATAAAATAACACTGAGTATGTTTATTATTTGCCAGACATTATTATCATATTACATATTTTTTTTTTGCTAATCGTTATAATCCTTTGAGGAGGAGTACTATCATTCCCATTTTACAGCTGAGAAAATTGAGGTTTATAGAGATTGATCAATAGGTCCAAGGTCTGACAGCTATCAGGCTTTGGGTAAGAGGAAGTATCATGTTAGTATTCCTAGAACATACTATACTGCTTATCATATAACAAAGCTGAATAATTGTGTGCTGACTGAATAAATATATGAACATATTTAAAAATACAGTAAGATAAACATAAAAATAATTGTTATGAAAATAACAGTTTTAGTTATATGAAAATTTCAAATATACCTCCAAATCTATTACCAACTAGGAATTCTCAAATAACATGTGAAAAGTAATGAAATCAAATACTTAAGTAGTCAAATGTGAAATCAAGCACATCTTGAGGCTTTACAAACTAAATATTTAAATACACTGTAAATGAAAAATCCTTTAGGTTGAGTATGGCAAACTCTAATCAAGAACTCAAGCTTTATAAGCTATTTTCATTCTCCCAATCAGGAAGGTCAACCACAATCAACTACATCAAACTATAATTTCTATGCATAGAAAAATTTTTTACTTCTGATTTACAAGTTTGTACTTTAAATCTATTCTCTCCCTCTTTAAAATGGATTAAGTACTCCCATAAGTATTAACATAAAACAACAAACCACCTGTAGACAAAGGTAAAGAAATTTAGCATCCAGCCTAAATTATGTGCTAAGATTGCCACATTAGCCTCCAGCAAATGTCAAGTGGTATGATCTTGAGATATAAATAACTGGCAGTGGCAGGATGGCAGCTATCAGCTCAGGTCACAAAGGTTACTGAACAGAAGTCAGATGGTAACTAATTCTAATCACTACTGAGCAGAATGGAATTTGAACCAATGACCTAGAGATGAAAGACTCCGACTTTCATTGGAAGGAAAAGGAAAAGTACAACTTACCCAGTACTAGAAAACTAAATTCCTAAAACTGGGTTAAAAGCCAAGATTTCCTCCATTTTCTAAGCCTCTAAACTATCTGTAGCACTGAAATAAACAAGCTGATGATTTTGAGACATATTTTAAAACCCCTGGTTTGTCACCAGTCTACTTCAGATTTATTACGTTGAAGAGTATCTGGCCCACTATTGAGAAAAGTTTTATAATTAATTATATGTCCTGGGCCCTAAACTTGGGCATCAATTTACCATTCCTTTGTGGAAAAGAAAGAGTTCACAGCGCAGTAATTCTGAAAGTAACATTTGCCTTATTATTGTCCAAGGGGACTAATAATTTAAGTTGTCA